TCAAAGACAAAAGAACAGCAGTGTCTGACTTGTTAGTCTTTTCTCGGTCAGGTTGGTAAGATGGTTTCCTCTTTAAGAGTTGGTCGTGCAGCTTATCCTGGATAACAAACCATCTATTATTATCCAGACATTGATGAAGGTTATTCTAATCTCCATTAGATAGCGCATAGATACATGCTTTCTGCTTTTTTCAGAAAGCATAAAAAGGCACAAGTTGTTTTTTTTTTTTTTTATCTTTTCAATGTTATTTATTTTAAAGTATTAATTAGACTTAACACATAACAGCAATGAAAGTTAAATATTTATTTCTGACTTGCATGAGATTCACCTGCAATCAATATCTGGCATTAATGTTTTACAACCATTCATGTCAATGCCAGGCGGTAATACGTGGATACTGTTCAGTTTTTGTGTATTTATGATACCTAATTTGCTTCCATTGGTTTATTGTAACATTACACACACTTCCCCTTTGTGGTTTTACGACATGAGGACATGAGAAGGGTCATTTGTGAGCATGTTTTTTTTTTTTGTTTTTTTTTGAAGCAGAACTTCCAATAGCTCTGTTTCGGTTGCAGAACAGAGTCTATAAGAGACAAAAGGAAAGGAAGAGAAGGTCACTCCGGTCATGTGAAGATGAACTTAGTTTAAAAAAAAAAAAAAGCAAACAAAAAAAAACCATCAGAATTTCTTCTTAGTTACTTTCCTGTCAAATATTAAGTTTTGTCAGGGTTTGTTTGGCAGCCAAAACGTTTGGCCCGCTGCTAAATTTTCCTTATCAGTGTGGGAAGACTTTGGCCCAGATGTAAAATGTTCATGCTCGTGTTTTCTGCGGCTCTTTTCTTTTCCAATGGTAAAAAATATAACTTAACACATTTTTTTAAGAATATTTTAAAGAGACTGAAATTTTTCAGGTCTTTACTGATAACTGGGAAAATAATTGTTTTTCAGACATACAGAAACATTTTTTTTTCTTATCTAAGAGGTACTGAGAGGCTTCCTTCCTTTCTCCACTCTATGGCCTAAGCCATATGGCGAGGCTTCTGGGAATTTTGGATTCGACCGAGAGTCCGACGTTGGCAATAATTTGGATGCTTTAGACTAACTTAGGTTATGTTTGGTCTACATTTTCTACAGTAAAGCAAGTTTCATGTTGGATACCAGTGATCACCATTCATTACTTGAAACACCAGACGCCATTCGCCATTTCTTTTCCGTGCCTACACCAATCTGGAATGATCACGAGTCTCTCTGCATTGACGCCTTTTTCCTCTGGCATTCAAACCGGCACGTTTGTGGTCGATTCAAATCACGTTAACAAATTTTCTCTCCGGATCAGGAATGACCCGACTTCATGTAAGATGTGGGCCAATTGCTGAACGCTTCACTTTCAAGACACCTACAGCTTTCTGTTCAAGCACTGCAAAGTCGGAGCTCCCCTTCAATTTACTGCACGCTGGAAGTCAGCTGTATGAACATTTGATGGAAAAGCAGAATATTTCAACTTCCACCACAGCACGTTTACGAATCAAAATCCCTTCGGAAAGCATAGTATTGACTGAGGGCAGTCGCGCGGTTTCACACAGCGCTCATAAAACACTCTTCCTAAGTCCTCGAGAAAGCGGTGGGTGATAACTTCCCATTAACTGCACATACTTAAAACGACAGAAAACTTGAAGGCAAAACAGATAAGTAACGCATTTTTTGTCTGTGCTCGCTAAACACATGACAGCAACTGGAAAGGGAGGGCCGGAGTACAACTAAATTACAGGGGCAGCTGAAACGAGACATTGGATGCCATGGGAGGATGAGCAACAAAACACTACAATGCTTCACCACAACCTTAGGCGTGATATTGTTCTCCACAGACTGGCATGTTTTTTGTATTATTTTTATAGCTGTGACATCACTGTAGTCTGAGAAAATGCACTTGACAGATCACTTTTTTTTGTTATTTTAAGCTATCCTGTCATTATTACTCATCGCACTTCTTCATGCATAAAACAACTTTTTTTTTTTCTAACTTCCTCGTAGGTGTCCGTGTATTATCGACGTTTTACTCATTGTTTTAAACACCTTTGCCTCTTCACACGAGACCCAACTTGCTATACACGTTTAACTGTGCAAACATACGGACAAGAACACCAGAGGTGGATGACGAGACATCAGCACCAACATCAGCAGGAGAGGTGCTGTCACAGGATTGAGCTCCGGGAGCCAAGAGAAATAGGTGGCTTGTGAAACGTGTAATCTATTCTCGGACGTGTGGTTGTGGACTTGACATTTAGAAAGTGGCGAAGCACCGTATACCGAGTGAGCTACACCAATTGTAAGGCTCTGTACGGCCGCGCATTGTGTTTCACGCGAGTGACGGGCACGGGCATTCTTTCGCGCACGTGCACGCACATAAATACGATACAATAAAGATAAATGTGGCCTGGCATTTATAGATGGTGTGGTGCCAAGCTGCTCGTGGCGCAGATGGCACCAAGAGAGAGAAGATGGATGGAGGAAGGGAGAGAGAGAGAGAGAAGAAATAAGAGAGTTCTGTGACACCTCTTTTTCTCTGCCCACACTAAAGCTGCCTATTATCTAATCCTTCGCACCATGGATTGGGGGATAGGGATGGTCAGAGAAAGCAAGACATACAGTAGTTGCCAGAAAAATGGAGAGAGAGAGATGGAGAGAGAGAGAGAGAGAGAGAGAAAGCACCCGTCACCATTGGCGGAGCGGCATTCTGCTGGCGGCAACACAAGGCATCATTGTACTGTTACAGAGCGAGGGAGCTGCTGCCTCTGGTCCATTTCTGCTAAACCTGACTCGGCCATAGCAGGACGGCCAAGTTTGAGGCTGGAAAATTTCAGAGTGTAGCTCGGGATCCAGACCGCCCTGAACTGACTCATGATTACAGTGGGAAAGAAAATCCAAAGGACAGCTGTGCTTTGAACTAAGAGGACTGGTGTGCTTAAATTTTAAAGTAAAAAAAAAACCAAAAAAACATACATTTCCTGAATCGATTTGGAAGTATAATATGCTTATATTTCTGTAGTAAGGTTTCTCTTGTACAAACTTCCTCACTGCGGCAGACAGACTTAAAGTAGCGAATAATTATGAAGCATTAAAAAAAAAAAAAAACCAGATACAAGGCCATTTAAAATCCCCAAATCTGAAAAGTGTGGGATATATTTATGCTCCAGCTGAATTGCCACCTCCGAATTTTTAAGGATACACGTTTCTGCCAGTTTTTATTAAATAACTCCAGCTCATTCAGATTGTACCAACATTCCCAACTGGACTTGGATACGGACTTCACCTGGGCCATCGAACGCATGGACACGATTTCGTCTCAACCATTCTATTGTAGGTGCTCTATGTTTTTATTGTTCTGCTGCTGGAGGTCGCCAAGGGGATTTCCTCCAGGATCACTCTGTATTTTGCCCCCATCAACATAACATCACGTCACCACCACAGTATGATGTTGCCACCACCATGTTTCAAGCATGAGGATGTTTCTACATGCTACAGTTGAGCCAAATGTTTAAAAAACATTGGACTGAATACGACCCCGATTCAAAACTACGCTCTTGAAACCGTCGGCTTGTGCTCCTTGGTCTTCCTGGTGCTCTCTAAGAAATCTTTGAGGCAGTCCCAGAACTGCTGGAGTTTTCTCAGAATGAAGCAAACGATAGTGGACCACTGGACTGTGCTTTTGGTTTATCCTGGATTTTATTCACAAAAATAAGAGAAGTGGCATTTGAACTGAAATGAAACATCTGGAGATCATTGTGCAAAGAAGTATTGTTCATAGAATGAAGATGATTAGTGACAACACTGACTGTCACACAACACCAGCGTCTTTATTCAGAGGTTTCTTCCAAGCCGCTGTAACACTGACCACTGCAGGAGAGCTGTCCTTCTCACAGCCATCAGCATCTACAGCAAACTCTTTGAAGAGACCAGCATTTCATTTGCTTTATTATCAATGCAGTGCTTTTTAAACAGACAAAACGGAGTTTTACTCTTTCAGAAACAGTTGACAGTGACGCATCTTTCATTCCCAACTTCAAAACGATTCGTTTTGTGTTGGGTGCTTCGCTTAGAAACCCACTGAAATACAAACATTCACACAAACGTTTGTGCAAATAAAGCTTAAGGAACGCTATGAATGAACTCCTGCAAGGCACATAAATATCTGCGAGTGTCAGAAAGTGTGTTGTTGTACTGCACACCGCCAACACATCGCATCTGGAATAAATTTGCAGCACTTAAGCCCAGCCTGCCTCTCAAATATTTGACTTCAATCTTTTCCAACCACCTCAAAGACGCTGAACGCAAAGAATGTCTGGTGTTTATATTACAAAAGCAGTACAGGGACACTTTTGTTCAAAAACTGTTCTGGTTTGCAGCATGGGAATGAGTTACAGTTTCCACACACACACACACACACACACCTAGAACCTCAGGAAGGAGCCGCTGCTGTGAAGTCTATTGTTTTGATGTGCTGGTCCAGCAACAGAAAAGTGCAGGGGTCACGTCTTTCCCTGCCAGAGGTCAGCATCATAGCGTATGTGGCAATGACAACAAGAAGAAGAGGCACCAGTGGAGGAAGGTTGTCTGTGTAGCCGTGCATGGCAGGGACAGATATCTGCTGTCCTTCCGCAACATTCCAGCTCTGGAAAACAAACTTTTCCCAACTCCGAATGAAGAAGGAAACCCGCGTCTAGATCCGTCTGGTCTGTTTTCAGCAGGTTACGCACAGCCTGCTCCACACACATAACACTGACATGTCTCCTATGCAACTGGATCCAGCTTTTGAAATCAACAAGTACATTCAAGGTTTGTAAAACCTTCTTGTCTACTAATCCTGCTAAAAAAAAACAACGGAAATCTAAGGAGCATCACAGATACAATCTACATATCTTTAAAGCCCCCTGGGTGCAAACAGGACACACCAGACACAGAGAGACAGACAATAGGGGTGAGGGAGGCATTTTACCAACCTGCTTCTTCTGTGGACGTGCTGTCCACATGTTGGCCTGTCTGACCGAGCCAGCTAGATCCTCTGAATGGACGGCTAAAAACAAAGAGTCACACTCACACACGCACTCACACACACACACACGCCCAGTCTGAGACGACCAAGAGCCGCGCAGCAGCAGCAGCAGCCAAATTCCGTGTTCCCTCTTTGCTGCAACTCAGTAAGTGTGGCTGAGAAGGAGAAGAAAAAAAAAAAAAAAACTAACAGTGAACTCTCTGCAACTCCTCGGGAAGGGAGGGCTCTCTGAAACTCTGAACCAATCACAGGGAGCGATTCTTCCTGTGGCCTTCTCTGATTGGGCAGAAGATTTCACTGGCGGTGGGAGGCAGGAGGAGGAGCTGTGGGGTAGCAAACACTGACACCGGTCCTGCCTATTTTCTCATCATTGGTTGGGTGTTTTTGAGTTCGTGGGAGTGGATTTACCTGCATTCTGTCCTATAACATTCCCATGCATGAACACTGAGCCTTTAGAGAGCCAAAATAAAAAAATAAAAATAAATAAATAAATAAATAAATAAATAAATAAATCAATCAATCAAATGACAGCGGAATAGCTAAAATAATGAATGGAAAAATGTACAGTGTGCTTGATTTAAATACCTGCAGCCTCACAAAAATACACGTACAGGTTCTTCTCAATAAACAAGAACTATATTAAAATAAAATATAAAATAAAATAAAACAAAATTAAAAAAAAAACTCCAGCTCAGTGATTCTTGATAAAGGGGGATATGGCTCACTGCTCAGGGCAGCATCAATTTGGGATGGCTCAAGAAGAGGAAAAGCAGAAAGAACACAGAATAGAGCAGTGTTTTTCCACCCTGGTCCTCCATGGTTTTAGCATTTCACAGTGGTGTGTTAACACGGGGAGACATCTAAAACATGCAGGGCATGCCTTGGGGACCAGGGTTGGGTTGGCAGTATACTACCTAATCAAACTACAAAGGGAAATTCATTACACTGATTCAGTACACAATCTAAGTGGCTGCCTTTATCTGCATTTCTGGCTCTGGTGTCTCTGATCGTCCCGTGCTTCATAGATTCTCTTCGGTGTTTGGATCAGACAATTTTACAATCTAACACACGCGTACCATGGCAATTAAAACACGTATAGGAATTTTAGCAGCATGGGCAGCTGCCAAACCCTACTGGAAGACAAAGTTAGCATAAATTTTAAGTTTGTCTGCAGAGAGATGTATCAAATCCTGAAAACTTTCATTGTAGATGCCTGTGCTGACTTTGGACTACAACACGGTGAGCCAACACCAGCAGACGACACGACTCTCCAAATTACTGATTGTGGAAACTACACTAGGCAATGCCTTCATCGGCTTAATTCAAGTATGACGCTATTTCTGTTGTTTCTGGTTCAGACAAAAGAAACACATCAGCTGTTCCCCGTCACCTCAGGAACAGACTGCAGCCAGGGCGTCTATGTCATGTGAATCTCCTCCAAACTCTCACACAGACTTAACATTTCTCTGAGGCTGCAGTCGTTACTGTTGCTTATGCAAGTTTGTCCACCACACTTTTTTTCAATATACTTGAGTTCTTCATTAAAAGCAAGCCAGTTTAGTACTGTCCTTTTATGGCTTATGCTCTCATAAGCTGCACAACCGATAGTTCTGAAGTTTTCACTAATAGTTCGTTGCTTTTATGGGATTTTCCAATTTTCTGAATTGTAAAAGTATAGTAAATATTCTGTGATATTCAAATGTGTTGACATGCATCTGTAGTCGGCTGCTCAGTGAACCTGAAAGCAAAATCGATCTCTTTCACCATCTAGAGGACGAAACGGAGAACTGCGCTCCTCTTGAGATCAGCTGGCACTCGCCTGTTTGTACCTCCAAGGACTTTAACCTGCAATCTACCACACCCTGACGGCACCTTTCAGATAAAATGGCTAGCTAAGATTTTCTTTAGCACTAATGCTGCACAGAAATCCCAGAGAAAAATGTCTTCTTTTTTCTTTTTAAACATATTTAAAGGATAATGACATCAGAAGAAGGGAGTCGCAGTCTAGGCCCGTTAAAATACTAAGACAAGTCAGACTGCTAAAAGTTTGGTTGGTGTCACAAGGAATATTTCTAAAGTCGACGTCGTTTTTTTGCCCCCCACTGAATCCAAAACAAGTGTTATTTCATCTGTGCTCAACGTTGATATCAGCTCCATTTGAGTATTGGCAAAAGATTCCCCCCAGTTTTATGAGCAGAATCCCCTGAAATGTGTTCTGTGCAAAATGTCAAAGTCAGCTCTACCTTTATGTACAAATATATAAAAAGCAAACTCAAACATATCCTAATGTTGACACACACACACATACAAAACTGTACATACCAGATGTGAAGAGAAAACCTTGTGAAAAGCACAGCTGTCCTGATGAAGGCCTGACTGCTGCTCTGTCCATTAGCCAGATCTCTCTCACTCTTTGCATTTATTCATCATCGCCCAGTTTTCTCTCCTTCCCCGTGAACACGCGCATCATGATTCATCGGCCATAAACATAATGGTAGGAGACACAGCCCAAAGGCCAGCGAGATAACAGCGCTCGGCACAGCGTGGATCAAATCTGATCAGTGGAAACAGAAATATTTTGTAACCTAATATTTATTACATGTGTGGTTTTATTTCAAATGCCAGTTCTTTTAAGCAACAACAAATAAAAAGAAAAAAAATGGTAGTTCATAGTATTAAAGTAAGCAGAAAATGGTTATTTGTTTTATTTATTATAGAGGAAAAACAAATACATTACTTCTTTTCTGAAATCATATAAATTTCAAATTGAAAAATGCCAAGACAACAATGTTTTAAAAAAAAAATCCTTAACATCACAACCTTCTGCATTTCTAGCCTGCGCAAGCTAACTAAATTGTCTTTAGCATCAGAGCTGCCGCTGACCTGGCTTCAGCTGGATAGAAAGTAAATCTTTTTGCACAGAAAGCTTCTCAGGTTTTCATGAGAGCTGCTGACTTTTACCGATTTGATCTTTCCCTTTTTATTAAATCCATGTCAACGTATCAACCTTTATGAGAATAACGGTTCTTTAGCTACACTCTCTAAACGAACACATTAGCTGTTGTTAGAATTCAAATCTTATGAGCTGGTGTGCTTTAAATCACGTTGTGCTTAATAGTCGTTACTCTTCAAAACTCCTTTTTGTAGAGCACATCCAATAAAGATGATAAGGAGCATAAAACACTAATCAAAGTTCACTGCAAAAGAGGAGATTTTTTTTCATTGATTGATGGAACTGCAATAAAAAAAATTATTCACCCCCCCACCCTTCCCCTCGCATCTTTACCAATGGAAGGGTTGGGTGAAACGTGTACTTAGAATTTTTTTTTTTTTTTTAAATGTGCTGAATAATGTTGGATAACCAGCTCCAATAGAGCTGATGTACATATAACAATCATGTTTGTTTTCATTCTGCTGGAAGCTAATTCAAGCCTTCAATTAAATCGGAGCTACAGCCTTGTTATAATGTGATTCAGTTAGGCTACTTGTGATTGCAATTATAATGCTGAATTTAAGTTGAATGACAAGCGCTGGATGTCTCATCAAATAGTAATTCTGTCATGTATTTATTATTCCAAATAACCAAATTACTTCAATGTAATACTTTTGTTCATTGGAAGCTGGATAAAAAAAAAAAAAAAAGTATGCCATTGATGAATACATTTCCTCTGCATGTGGAACATACATTTTAGAATTCGTTGTAGATGATCACTAACAATTAAGTAGTGATAAACCATCACCGCACTGGATAATTGTGACATAGACAAATGATTACAAATAAAAATCTTTCTGATAAAATCTAATGAAGTCAGAGCAATAAAAAAAAAAGAAAAAAAAAAGCAACCTGTCAGTCTAAGTAGAAATGCGGCTTTTCTGTGAAGGCCGCAGAACGTCATTGAAACGGCATCATGAAGACCAAAAGATCCAGCTGACAAATGAGGGAGGAAGTTGTGGATGAGTTTAAAGCAGGTTCGATATTGTCACCTTCCTAAACTGATAATGTGTAACTTTGGTAAAAAAAAAAACAAACAAAAAAAACAAACACATTTTTCTTTCCAGAAGATGTCTTAGGCAAAAGAAGAAGAAGAAAAAAAATCACTTTTGCCAACAACAATAACATATGCTAATAGGATGACAATACACATCATCTTCATCCAGTCCAACTGCTAACTGCTATTTTTGCACAGAGGACTGTGCAAAAAGTCTAAAAGGTGATGAAATTAAATCATTTTGCAAGGTACTTTTTTGTTTTGCTTCTTTCTCCTCTGCTGCGGACTTTGAAAGGCAACAATGTGAGCAAAGTTTCACCGAATCGGATGCACGTCCAGCCATCACTGCCCTGACATCTCCAGTAGGTGGTGTCGCTGCAGCCACAGTGCGCCCCCGTTCACCTCCCCCCTACCGGCACCTCTTCACCTCATGTTTTTTTTTTTTTTTTTTTTTTTTTTTTTTTTTTTTTTTTGCGCACTGGGAATCTGGATCCACGCACAAGGCATTCATCACATCAACATCCAAAGCATCACAACTAGGAGTGGAGCTGGATCTCTTTTCTTTTTCCTTTAATCTGTTTGAAATCCTTGCATCGGTCATATATTCCTAAATTCATTTTTTTCCCCCTCCGAAGATGTTGAAAACGCGTCGCCCCATTGTGGTTTTTGTCAGCTTTATAAAACTGTGCTTTCTTCGTCGGGTGGAATTTGTTTTCACGGTGGTCGTATTTTGTCCGTTCGTGTTTGGGTGACTCTGAATCTGTGTCCTCCCAGGATAGTCACTCCTCCTCCTCCTCGCTGCTGCCTCCGCATCATGGGACCCGGAGTCTGACTCACCGTCACCTGCTCCCGATGGAAGTCGTAAAATAATGTTTTGGATAGCGCCCGATGACGTGAACTGTTCATGCCGCCTTTTACGCATGAAAGACTCCAGGTTGATGTCGGCTCTCGCCGCAGAACAGGAGAAGTTGTAGCTTGTAAGTGCGACTGAAGGAGCAAAAATCAATGCAGTGTTTGATTTTACTTCTTGCTGAGAAGAACGCGCCTTCTGTTTTAATTTCAATTGTGGTCTAAAACAAAATAAGGAGCTTGTGTGTTTTTAATGACTCCTGATTGACATAAGTAACAAGTCACTTAAGAATTTGTCTTCAGAATCAGATGCGTTCCACGAATCTAATCTCATCCATATATTTGACAAGAAAAACGACTTCAAATAAATGTTTCATCCTATAATTGCGATTTCTTTAACCTTCCGACAGACTTTTACGCAGCGCGCGCGCGCGTCAGGTTTTTGGTTTTACGCGCGTCTGCCGTTCTCCGTGATGAACGCCGGGGAGAGCGCCTCTAAGGGGCATGAGGACTCCGACTCCCAGGGGGACTTTAGAGAACGCAGGGAGGCCTGGTCCTGTGAATAACCGCGCTGCAGCATGCCCTCCTGGCCCAATGACTCGGAGTGCCTCCCGCGTAACTGCAGCTGGGAGGAGACCTACAACACCACGAGCAGCGCCGACCAGCCCGCGCCTCCGCTCAACTACTACTCAATCCCTCTCCTCGCGTTCATCACCGTCGCCTGCTCGCTGCTGTTCCTGGTCGGAGTGGCCGGGAACGTCATGACCATCCTGGTGGTGAGCAAGTACAGGGATATGCGCACCACCACCAACCTCTACCTGTGCAGCATGGCTGTGTCTGACCTGCTCATTTTCCTGTGCATGCCGCTGGACCTCTACCGCATGTGGCGGTACCGGCCCTGGCGCCTCGGAGACGCGCTCTGCAAACTCTTCCAGTTCGTGTCCGAGTCTTGCACGTACTCCACCATCCTGAACATCACGGCGCTGTCGGTGGAGCGCTACCTGGCCATCTGTTTCCCGCTGCGCGCCAAGGCTCTGGTCACCAAAAGGCGAGTGCGCGCGCTGATCTGCGTCCTGTGGACGGTGTCCCTGTTCAGCGCAGGGCCAGTGTTCATCATGGTTGGAGTGGAGAGGGACAGCGTGGAACCACTAAACCTCACGTCCCGGATTAATGCGACTGGCTCGCTTTTGGACGTTGGGGACACTCGGGAGTGCAGGATGACGCACTACGCCGTTGAGTCAGGCCTGATGGGGGCCATGGTGTGGCTGAGCTCGGTGTTTTTCTTCATGCCGGTGTTCTGTCTGACGGTGCTGTACAGCCTCATCGGCCGTCGCCTGTGGCAGAGGCACAGGGAGACGAACATGAGCTCCCGCGTTGCTCACAGAGACAAGAGCAACAGGCAGACCATCAAGATGCTGGGTAAGTTTCGAAATGCATTTACATTTACTGTTCTGACTTACAGGTGTAAAGAGAAATTAAACTAAATCAAAAATAAAATAAATGGTCTGTTGTCTATATTGGCAATATGGCTCACCACCCAGGACAGCATGAGCTGGGGGCAGAACAAGATCCCACTCCAAAAAAAAGAAAAAAAAGAAAAAATGGTATTCTTCTTGGAAACTTTGATTAGCTCTGAAAAGTTTATTAATTCCACTAATTCAATGGAAAGTAAGTGAAGCTCATATTATGTAGCTCACTGTATGTTTCAAGTGTTTATTTCTGTTTATTCTGATGAAGTAGGATGAATAGAAAACACAGTTTTAGTTTCTTTTGTTTATTCGTGTAGTTATTGTGACTCGTTTCCTTGTCGTCGTAGCGCCTTTGTAGTGTTAATATACTTTGTTCAATGCTGAGCTCGAGAGTTAAATAAATACAGATTTTCCTCTTCGTTTTGCCTGCCACCTCCCCGCATTTGGCTTCTCCGGGAAAAACACAACGTGACAGTTTTATGGTCGGGTAAGGGTTAGGGTTTCTAGCAGCTACTGAAACGTTGAGTGGTGGATAAAGGAGATCAAGCAGCAGTGATGGAGAATGTTGTGAATCAAAGCTAATTTATGAGTTTGGTATTGAGAAGGAATGAACTGCTGTTTGGGTCAAAGCTTCAGGACCCAACACACAGCAGCTTGGTCTACTTATGGGTCTCTGGAGCCAACAGCTGCAGTCGGCCAAAGTGATGGCCAGAAACAACAAATAACAATAAGGCTGCAGGAGATAGACAGATCCCGTCCATTCAACAATACAACTTTAAATAATTTCTCAAACTTAAAGGGAGCTGGTGAAGGAAAACAAGCACCGAAGAGACACGCTCACACTCTTTTTTTGTCCATTCTGCACTTTAGCTGCAGTCGTATATGACGACCCCTCCTGCTAAAACTGTGATGGAAAACCACCCAGACTGAGCAGAGTAGAGTCGAGATGAGCTGCCGTGTAGCAACGCTACTGGAAAAAAAGGGTCATCAGTAATGATTTGTAGAGTCTTGTCTTCTGTTTGTGGATTAGATGAAACACAGTGGAAAAACACCAGCAGAGTAGCCCTTCAGCCAGTGATACATACACTCCATGCACCTACATTTTAGTAGTTTAGTAGTAGTTCTGTGTTAGAAAACCGTTTTTTTTTTTGTTTTGTTTTTTTATCAGTGTTATGTAAAATTCAAATTATCTTAAGAAACCAAATTTGAGAAAATGATTCGACACCTTCCCACACTGGTAAAAGGTGCCAATACCTTCTTGGTGACCACAGCATCACTGTGCCAGGAAACTCTCTGATGTAAATCCTGCAGAGAAACCTTGGAGGATGTTGAGAGGAAAATGAGAAAACCAAACTATGCAAAAGAACAGAAGCCTGGGCTTCCTTAACGGAGCCACAAGCTGATCCTAATGTTCATACAAATCAAGTTTTGGAGGGGGCGAGGGGTGGAGGGGGTTAATGTCTATGCACCAAAATTAATATAGAAAAACAAATCAGCATATTTTGCTCTGTGTGGGATAAGTCTTTAAAGTTAGTTTTTTTTTTTCAGTTAAATGGCTGAAATAAATGTAATTTCAATTAGTTAATTAAGAGATCTGTTGCTTTTGCTCTCAAAGATATATATATATATATATATATATATATATATATATATATATAAGAGTTTTTTGATTTTTTCTCAACAGCCCCCTTTTTTCTCTCTTTCTCTCTCTAA